TTTTAATCCTTACTGGGTTTCATTATGACAAGAATATAGAATTGTAGCCAACAAGGACCCAGCTAAGGTAAAGCAACGTTTACATGAACATGCTGGGTTTTGATAGGTCGGGGAGGATTGAGGGCAAAGCACTCTGTAAGGCTGAGCAGCTTGGGAGTAAGCTGTCTATGGCCCAAACCTGAAACTCCCGGCACTAGTATCCGCGGTAGCCTAGGAATAAACCCTAAACCCTATAAACCCTAAACCGAAAAGGGCTCCCTCTTTGGCATTAAGAAGGGAAACAAGCCCCACGGAGGAGAGCCAGAGCCTTGACAATCGCAGGTTTAGGGTTTAGGGCTTTGGGCTTTAGGGTCTAGGGTTTCGGGTTAGGGTGTAGGGTTTAGGGTTTAGGGTTTAGGGTCTAGGGTTTAGGGTTTAGGGTTTAGGGTTTAGGGTTCAGGGTTTAGGTTTAAGGCTTCAAGGTTTAGGGCCCTGCACCCTTAGGCCGAGAGTCGCCACCATCAGGGCCAGAGCCATCACCATCGCCATCGTTTCCGCTGGACTCGATCTCTGTTCGGGTAGACACCGTGTTGTTGACAAACCTGGGTTTAGGGGTTTAGGGTTTAGGGTTTAGGTCAGGGTTCAGGGTTTAGGGCTACGAGTGCGGCGAGGGCGTACAGTAAGGGTGTTGTGCAACAGCTTTGGTGGGGCACAAGACACATGCAGCACCTGGACGAGAGAAAAGGCACATGAAGAATATCCTCTATGCCCTCCTTCCCAGGTTTTCTGCATGCCATTCATTTTGGCTTGGTAGGATCCAGGATTTAGGATCCCATGGCCCTAAAACCCCAATCCAGCTTGACATAGCTAGCTGCTGTACTTCGGTACAGTATTTGGAGGTTCGGTTGAAAGAAAAAAGACCCTTCCACAAGCTACACAGCCCAACAAAGTCGTACGAAACTGCGAGTTTGGGTGTTCGACTTGGGTTCAAGTCGCGGCAGGTCGTGTGAGGTTCGCGCGCAGTGTTGAAACTGCAAGCAAGTGCGCGCTTTATCCCAGGCAACGCCTGACTATTCATGTTCGCATCCCTGCCCGCGCACCACCTTGTTTTATATGTACTGAGCATTGGTCGTCGAAGCCAGTCTTTGCATGCCACCCCTCCAGATGCCTGCGCCCATCCTCGAATCCTGCGTCCCACGCCACAACTCGAGATGCGTAGAAGTAGAATCCATCATGGAATGCTCCGACAGTGCATCCCACAACCCGGGCTGCAGGATCTTCGTCAAGGCCAAAGCTTGGATTTCTCTGGAGGAGAGGCCCATGTGAAGTTGAGACCACGAACCGCACAGCACACAAAAGCTCGAATAACCCTCAACCCTTGCATGCATATACTTAAAGATATCTAATTATCTAATACGTACAAAACCCAAATGGAGTTTCCGAAAATTAGGTTACCTTATTTGGGGATCCTTATAATAAGCATCCTACTATTTAGGGTACTATAATAGGGTCCCCTATTCTCGGAAACCCCCGAATCTCTGAGACGCATGGAAACACACCAGACCGAGCCACTCCAGCGAAAGGATCGAGAACTTTGCAGTGCGATTCTCGGAGTTCGAAGAGTTGGTCGAGTTGTTCCTTCAAGCTCTGGCTTTGGGTTGCAGGTTTTGGTTTTGGGTGGACTTTCAAAAGCTTATATAGGGTTTAGGTTTCGGGTTTTGGGGCTTGATTTTTCGACGGCGGCTTTAGGGCGTGGGTCTTGGGGGTATTGCACATCAGGGTTCAAGGTTTAGTGCTATCTTCTCTTGTGCAAGGAAAAGAGTACCGGCTACAGCCGCATACTAACCACTACCTGGGACGACAATGACAACGAAGATGGCGTTACGACGACGACGTCGACGCCGGCGATGTCGACGACCACTACTGCTTCTACTACTGCTGTTACTCCTAATTACTGCATGCAATACGAAATGTACTGCCACTGCGGCTACGACTGCGACTAATTAGAACTATTTCCCTCTACTCCAATGTATTTTCGAGTGCTGCAACAGCTGCTACCACTCGTGCACCTCTAGAACTGAACAGTAGAAGAGCGAATCACCATGATAGTCATGGAAAAACGAAAGGAGAATGCGAACAAGCACAAAATACCAACACATCACGAAGTAAAGCTTGCTCGAACTGTCGTTGGGCAAGATTCGTCGAGTTCGTCCCGTTCAAGAAGTGGGTGTTCGCTGCCGCGATTATCGCGTCGGTGGAGTTCAGGACGACAGCGGGGAAGACCGTCAGAGGCTCGGTGCGAACGGATGTAGGGTCAAGAGTTGAGTTTAGGGTGTTTGAAGGGTCATGAAGGTCACCCAGACCTTCCAATATCCCTTACTTAAGGAACATACGGTGAAAAAAAAGGAATCCCGAATGTGATTTCAGGTATACTCCTGTATTAAGGAGTCTTGGAAGGTCTGGTCATGAACCGATATATATATATATATATATATGGGTGGTTGTCAAAATTATGGTCCCCTTTTGGGTCCTTTTTTATAATACGGCACCTATTATTTAGGGTACCCCAAAAGGGACCATAATTGTGACAACTACCCATATAACATACAGGGGCTCAGGCTCATGAACCACTGCATGTAAAATCTAGAGGCCTGGGGCTTGCTCGCGGTACGTGAGGACACATGACTTCTAAGCGAGTAGATGTATCCTACTTTCGTCTACAAACATGACTAAGACAACGAATGAATAGTCATCATCCTTTACTCAAACCCTTACAAGACCCAGTTTAGATCAAACCCTAAACCTGAAACCACTAAGACCCTAAACCCTAAACCCCTAAACCCTAAACCCTAAACCCCAAAGCCCCGAAGCCCCAAAACCCTAAACCCCAAAACCCTAGACCCCTGAATCCCTAAACCCGAAGCCCCTCAACCCTAAGCCCTGGTTCTGGTCTTTGGGAGTGTCGAGGTGGGTGGATGGTCTAAGGCATGCAACTGGAAGCCTTGAAGGGTGGGCTTTATCCATAGGATCCTTGGGGATCCTTGGGGGTCTAAGTAAGGCTTCATGGTTTCGGGTTTAGGGTTTTAGGGTTTAGGGTTTGAGGGTTTCGGGTTTAGGACATTGGGTTTATGGTTTTGGGGTTTAGGGTTTTAGGGTTTAGGGTTTTAGGGTTTAGGGTTTCGAATTTTAGGGTTTAGGGTTTCGAATTTTAGGGTTTAGGGTTTAGGGTTTTAAGGATTAGGGTTGTAGGGTTTTGGTTTAGGGTTTAGGGGTTAGGGTATTAGGTTGAGGATCCCATAGATACCGTGGCACCCCTAAACCCTAAACCCCTAAACCCTGAACCCTTGCAATAGAAGGTGCATTGCCTAAGCGAAGGATTTTGGAGCCTGTGGGTAGGATGTCTCTAAGGGTTCAAACAAACAGGGGTGCTAGGAGGCTCGGGCGACAAGGGATCTGCACACGGTTTAGGGTTTAGGGTTTAGGGTTGAGGGTGCACGGTTCAGAGTTGCGATAGTAAGGTCAGTCTTCTGGAAATCTGTCCACCCTCCCGCTACCAACACACAAAAGCTCTGTTCCAATGAAAGACGACATCTGTAAACTTAAAGTCAGTTTTTGAGTTCTCTGACGAAAAGCAGACTAGACTTTCTTGCCGGTCGGGCTAAATGGGAGTTTCCCAAAACCGACACAATAATCGGACCCATGTTGGAAAAGGACTCCAAAATTTAGGACTCCCCAACCTTTAACCCCCTGAGCCCTAAACCGTAAACCCCTACACCCCTAACCCTCAGCATCAAACCCCTAAACCCCTCAACCCCGAAACAAACCCCAAACCCTAATCCCTGAACCTCAAACCCCTCAACCCCTGAACCTAAACAAACCCCAATCCCCTCAACTACCCCTGAACACCTAAACAAACCCTAAACCCTAAACTCTAAACCCTAAACCCCAAAACCCCTAACCCTAAGCATGATCCCAAAGCCGACTTCACATCCGATAAGAGCGAGCTCTCGAGACGACTTAGGCCCGGGCCAAGCTCAGGATCTTGTAATTCCTTGTGGGTTCCATAATTGTAGGGGTTTAGGGTTTAGGGTCTAGGGCCTTAATAAGTAAAATAGGGTTTTGAGGGGCCTTAATAAGTAAAATACGGTTTTGGGGGGCTCCTTATTATAATTGTAGTATAATATGCCCCCAAACCCTATTCTAATTATTCAGGCCCCTATATGGAGGGTTCAGGCCGGAAGGGGGGCAGGGGGGGGTAGGAGTTTATGGTCATTGTTGCGACGTTCACTGACACGGAGCTGCTGCATCCCTACCACGATGGTTGCGTTTATCAGGATTATGATGTCTTTTGGTTTGGTTGAGTGTTTAGGGTTTGGGGGCTATTAGGGCTGTAGGGGGTTTGAGGGTTTCAGAGATGGAGGGTCTAAGTAGAGTTACCAAAGCCCGTTACAAGGAACTGAGCCTAGCAGGATGGGTAATATAGGGACCTTAACAATGAGAATAGGGTTTGGGGGCCATTATACTACACTTAGAACAAGGACCCCCCCGCAAAAAAAAAGTATAGGTAACTATTTAGGCCCCTACATTACATGTCCCGTTTTCTAGGCAACCGTGGTTGCTCTAGGACCCCCCGACTGGTACGGCTTGTTGGGCTTTGTCCTTAAACCCTCAACCCTGCTTGGAGGGCCGGGGGGCTTAGTAAGTAGGTAATTGGTAGACTTATAAGTAACCTTAAAGGGACTCTACTTGGGGTGATGATACTTATAAATCTAAAAGACTACTCCCCTAAACCCTAAACCCTAAAGATAACTACATACTAAGTCCCCCGACCCTCCAAGTAAACCCTAAGACTTGGGCCTTCCGCTCCAAGTTTGGGTTTAGGGTTTAGGGTTTAGGGTTTAGGTAGGGTTTAGGGTTTAAGGCTTCGGGTTTAGGGCTTAGGGTTATGCCAGCCCGATCAGTCTCATGAATGCGAAGCAGCTGCTGACTCTGCTTTTCTAGACCCACGATTTCAGAAATCTGAACTGACCTCATTAACATTGTTATGTATATGTATATGTATATGTATATGTATATGTATGTGTCTATGTATGTGTATACAGCGCCAACACTGAATAAGAAAACATTGAATTAAGAAACCAGCCCCTGAATTTGCGCGGACCTATACTAAAATCTGAGAAAAGCAAGCAACAGGAAATAGGAAATTCAGGGTCCCCTACCCCCGAAACCCAATTTCTTATCCAATTTCGTAAATGTTGCCCCCAAGACCAGAAATGCTCAGGGCTTCGGTATTTAAGTAAAAACACAGGAAATAAGAAATTTCAGG